TGTGTGTGTGTGTGTGTGTGTGTGTGTGTGTGTGTGTGTGTGTGTGTGTGTACGCACTAGTACTGGGGCTTGAATTCAGGCCTTCTCACGGCTGGTACTTTACACCTCTAGTTTGTCTTTTTTGCAGGTTAATTGGAGATAAGACTTTCACAGATTTGCCTGTTCAGGCTGGCCTTAAACCTCAATCCTCAGAGCTCAGTCTACTGAGTAGCTAGGAACACAGGTCTGTGAGCTATCAGTATTTGGTGGTAATGGCAGCTATTGTTCACCCTCCTCCCAGATTCCCAATATGGTCTTTATTAAATTCAAGGTTTACACAGCCCCATCACCCAAGATCCCCTGGATCTGAGGACAAAAGGGACCTGACATCTCAATTTCTGTCCAATACTTGCTGGCTGTGGTATCCTTCTGTTCTGGCTTGGAGACTGGAAACACCAGCCATTTGGAATGGAACCCTCACGTCTATATTAAAATTTTATATTTAAAAGCCACTGCCATATTGCAAGGAAATCCTGTTTCAGGGGGAGGAGAGGGGTTTGGAAGTTCAGGCTTTCGTGATACTCTCTCTGATTTTGTAGTTGATATAGCACCAGAATTGCTTGATGCGAATTGCTCTGGGCTCTGGCTAAGTTCCCTGTTTTTATTTGCTCAGTTTTAGTTGATGCTTTAATAAATGTAATTCTTTTGGTCTTCGTGCTGGATAGCAGTTTCTGGATCTTGTACATTTCCTGTTTCTAATCCCTGGTGAGATTCTTGCTCCTAGGAAGATCCTACTCAAGATGGAAGTTTTTGAAGCATTTTATAGACAGTTGGGGAGAAGAAACTATGGGCAGGCCCAATCTTTCCTTCCACATCTACCTCACCAAAACTCTAGCCTCTTTCATCCTAGGATGTGGCCTTGGTGGTCTCCCATCCTCCCCGAGTCCTGTGCAAGGTGCCTTGTCTTAGAAGAGCAACCCCGATGATATTAAAGACGTAGCAATTTATTTCAAGAAGAGTAACTTTTTATTGTGGACTGTAATTTGTTTGGCCTCTCACAGTGAGCTTAGCTTTCATTGGCTGTTCTAGCTCCCAGTTGTGAAATAGTTCTAGGGCAGCTGTGACTTGTAGGGGATGTTCGCTCCATGTACTGTGTCTGTGTGGACTCGGTCACTATGGAGGACAGGGCTAGATCGTTCCCACTTGGTGCCTGTAAAGACCCTTTGCATTTGCGGCCACAGGCTGGCTGAGTGGAAGTCTTCGGCCAGGCCCCATGCTTAGAACCTCCAGCCTCTGGTGGGCTTGCTGTGGCACCTAGTGGGTCCATTCATATTTCGCTTTTTAACAGGTGCCAGCATGCTTCTGGGCTCACCTAGGTTTTGCAGTGGGGTTGGGATGTGGGCCTGTGAGCCTGAACTCCTTAGGCAGGAAGGGCTCTTAGGGCCACTGTGGTATTTTCACTGAGGAGCACAGGCCCTTCTAACTGCTGCTGGCTTTTCAGCATCTTGCTTTAAAAGCTGGGCAAGGAAGATACCACAGCAGAACCTGAGACCATGATGGGGGTACAGATGTCAAACAGGTTGATTGGGGTCCAAAAGGAGACCAATGACCTAAAGCACAGCTGTGGGCTTCAGGTACTGGGGTGAGTCGGGAGGAAGGAGGAGAAAGAGGGAAGGACAGAAAGATGACTCTTGAGCCATGAGATGGGGGAGTCATTAGAAGAAGGAATTGGCCTTTCTATACCCAGAGTGGCTCAGTTCCCTGACCGTCAATAAACAAGATCAAGAGCTTCCATTGGCTTCTCACAAAGCCTTAAAATTACATGATGAATCCCGATTTTAGATGATCTTTAACTCTCCTAGGCAAAGAATTGTGGGGTCTGCTGTTTGTATGACCTCCATTCTTCTTGTGCCTGGAACTCTGCTTCCATGCGTACCTGTTTACTGCTGGCCCTTGAGTTTACTCACTCTGGACCCAGCCCCTTGTCTACAACATAGAACAGAGACACCAGGGTGACCAGTAGTATTGACCAGTCATGGATCCAGATGTCCTTAAGAGGTTGACAGAGAGAAATTGGAAGAAACTAATGTTTCTGTCATTTTTTTTTTTAACTCAGAGGGAGGCTTAATCTTGGATTCACTCTGCACACAAGTTGTCGCTGCGGCTCATTCCTGTAATCCTAGCTACTCAGGAGGCTGAGACCTGAGGATTACAGGTCAAAACCAGCCCAGGTAGAAAAGTCTGTGAGTCTCTTATCTCCAACTAATCACAGAAAAAGCAGAAGTAGAGCTGTGGCTCAAAGGGTAGAGAGCTAGCCTTGAGCAAAAGAAGCTCAGGGACAGTGCTTAAGACCTGAGTTCAAGCCCCAGCACCAAAACAACAACAAAATCAAGTTATTTCTCCTATGGAAAGCCCAAGAGCAGCTTTGACTGCCAACCGGGGATGCAGTAGGTGACTGCAGGTTAGGTCACCAGGGCAAAGTATGGCTGGCTGGCTTGGTAAAGGGCCCAGCGATACCATTTTAGTCTCTAATTTAGGCCATACTATCTCACTTCAACAACTGTTCAACACCACTGTATAAAAACAGGCGGTGCAGTTCAGCCTGCCCACCCCAACCTAAATAAAGCAAGGCACTTTGGAGCATGAAAGGAAGAACATTTGAAATTGTGTGATACTGGGAAGGCCCAGTGGATGAGCCCATTATGGGCTTTTGGGGAAGACAGGAATGTGTGTCCTATGCTGCTTGTCTCTCAGGGAACTACTGGAGAAAGGGACACCTTTCAGCGAATGCAGAACTCCCCACCTAAGGACCCTTATCATCAACAGTTGTGCAGTTCACGGTCCTAATACGTCCCTGGTGGCGTGTCTCTGGCTACCGTGGGGACAGGGATGGGTTCTTGGCAGTGGCTGACCCGGGGGTGCGTCCCTCTCCTTTGTCCCCGCAGCACTTGCAGCAACATGAGAGTGGCGTGGAGGGCGAGAGCTGCTACTACCACTGCGTCCTGTGCAACTACTCCACAAAGGCCAAGCTGAACCTCATCCAGCACGTGCGCTCCATGAAGCACCAGCGCAGCGAGAGCCTGCGCAAGCTCCAGCGGCTGCAGAAGGGCCTGCCCGAGGAGGACGAGGACCTGGGCCAGATCTTCACCATCCGCAGGTGTCCCTCCACTGACCCAGGTGAGGCATCTCACGAGCCCCTCAGGCCAGGCTGGGTCTGGGCATGGGTCTTGATCCGCCTCCTGTGGACATCTTTCTGGGGGCCGATGTATTACCTGTGCAGCTGGGTGTCAGGTTCGACGGTGGCCCCTCTTCTGGACATTGTGTTCTTGAAAGAAGGGTCTATTTGGTGCGTCCTTTTCAGAATCTTAGCACCACTTTACTTTGGGCATATACGCAACCACAAGGAAGTCACACCTAGAGAGCAGGACCACAGAGGATCTGTCCTTGGCTCCCAAAGTCCTCCTGCATGTCCATCATTGGTTCATCCTGACCAGGCAGATAGTATATTTTGGACCTTGATCGGTACTCAGTCTGGGTAAAATGAACTTCAGTGACAATCAGAACCAGTACTTATAAAAACCTCAGTTGTGTTCAAGAGCGAGTCCCACTGTTCTGTGGACCCTGACTTCCTGAAGTCTACTTCCTGAAGTCTTCACCTTGTGGCGGAACTCACCTGTTTTCTCCCTGCCCTCGTTCATCTCATCTGTAGTCATTTTTGTTTTCTTCCTCTTCTTTGTGACTCTTATTCTCATTGGGATGTCATGTCATAGAATTACCTCCTCTCTTCTGTGTTTTCAGCCTTTAGTTTTTCCTCTTATAACTTGGCAGCACAAGACTGTTGTTTGTATCATTTATTTTTATTTTTTTCTTGCCAGTCCTGGGGCTTGAACTCAGGGCCTGGTCAATGTCCCTGAGCTTCTTTCACTCAAGGCTAGCACTCTACCACTTGCGTCACAGTGCCATTTCTGGCTTTTTCTGTTTCTGTGGTACTGAGAAATGGAACCCAGGGCTTCATGCATGCTAGGAACGCACTCTACCACTAAGCCACATTCTCAGCCAACTGCTTGCCTCTTCGAAACAATAAAGTAAGCCAGGTATGGTGAGGCACCCCTATAATCCCATCGCTGGGAAGGAGGATTTCCAGTTGGATGCCAGCCTAGGTTATGTAGAAGACCTGTCTCCGAAAACAAACTCTCTTCTCTATCATCCTTGTTGAGAGAAAACCAAAGTCCTGCCTTAATCCTAAATCCCTATTGTCACTCTACAACTGAAGCTTCAGGGTTCTCAAAGAAAGAGCCTATCGCTCGTCTTCCACACCTCAGCCTGCCATCACCTGTTGCCATCTGTGTTGCATTTGTCAACCCAGAAGCTGGCCCTGCTCAGCCTGGTTCTTCGCTTTCCCCAGTGTTTGAAAGAGTTGGCTCCTTCCTCCTGAGAGCTCTCTTCTCTTGGCTTTTAGGGCGTTTCTCTCTAGTCTTCCTGCTTCTTTTCACACTTGTCCATGCCTGTCCATGGCTCCTGGCCTCAGCCTTCCCCCCACACCCTCCACTAGCCAATAGGTCCGAGTTCTCCCTCCACGGCTCTTGAAGCTTGGCCCTCTGTGGCTGCCAAACACCAGGAGCTTCCTGGACACCGCACTGGCCCCACCTCAAGGACACTGAGCTCACAGCTTATCCAGGCAGACTTGTTTTACCTTCCCATGGCACCTTGTCTAAAGAAGTGACTCCACCAGTGTCTTGGTCTCCTGAAGTGTCTCCTCAGCCACTGAGCTATGTGGGCTTTTCACCTTCGTGCTGTGTGGGCTTTTAATCCTAGTGCTGTGCATTTGCACATTCTTTTTTTTTTTTTTTGCAGTTTTTCGAGGTGAAAAGTTAGGTTAAACCTTACGAAGAATGGTGTGGCCCAATCCCATCCCATTCCTCCAAATTTCAGCCTTCAGGTGTTTTCCTTGGAGACTGTTCTCCCGATATTTCCGTGCACATTTCTGCTACTGTTTCCTGCTTATTTTTGACACTTCATGCATTGTCTCTGGTTTTCTCCTCTCGACAATGTGGGTTTCACTAGCGTTAGTATTTTATAAACCCACTACTATCTGCTCTGTCTCTCTGTTTCTGTCTCTGTCTTTGTCTCTGTGTCTCTGTCTCTTCTATCTCTCTCTCTCTCTCTCACACACACACACACACACACATCTGCACATTCAAACAGATACCGTCCACACCAACATCCTTTCCCCCTGGAATACACAGATGCTAGGCCTCTACCCAGCTCTGTCCTGTACATACTCAGCACACACCACCAGCATGCAGCCTGCTGCAGCCTCTCACTCATCCACACAGCACACTGCATTGGCTCCCCTCCTCCCCAACACCCCTGCCGGCACTCCATCGACACGGTCCCCGCGCGCACTCACACTGCACACCCCTATGTACTAATCAGTTGCCCACCCCCATCTTGTAACCTCCCCGAGCACTCCATCCTTCCCTTCCTCCATCTTCCATTAGGACAAAATCATAATTTGGGATTCTATTAATATTCAGTGTTTTCATTATTATAACTCTATAAATATTAATCACAGCTGAGCCATGTAGAGTTTTATAATTTCATTTACCTTCTTGTACAACTTTTTGTTTTCCCTGGTTTTTCTAGGTACCTATGATTAATTCATAGCCTTCCCGTGGCAGAGGAGACATTTCCTAATCTCCGATTGTTCTGTGTGCTCTGTGTTTCCTCCTGGAGGTGCCCAGCTGAAGCCTTTCCCTCTCCCCGCTCCCGCTTTTACCCTATGGCTACTTCGTCCATGGAAATAAAGCTGCAGTTCCCACTGTGGGACTGGCCCCAATCTAGTAACTTTGCTGGGATGGTTGAGTTTGCTTATTTTGGTGAAAGTAACATCTCCTGTCTTCTGACTGGCAATCCAAATCATCTCTTCAGGAAAGTGCTATTAGCACTTAAAATCACTTTCAAGTCACTACAGAGACGCTCCCTTCCCATGTATTTCCAGATGTCTGCTCTGGTTCAAGCCTAGACACTCCATCCCTGCAACTCCTGCTTGGTCTCTTAATTGCAACCTGCTGTACGAGTGTTCTCAGGAGTGCAGTGGGGACCAGCACCCACAGACACTCATCCATCCCCAAAGCCTCAGATCTTTGGGCCTCCTGGCTGTGGGGGCCCTGGTCCCACTGGAGTTTGTTGGCCCCTGTTAGGTGCTGCTGCTTTCTGCTGTTCTGCTTTGAGACATGTCACGGCATTCTCCATCTTTCTATCAACATGTGCAGGGCCGTTTCTTTCCCCGTGTGTGGCTCGTTTGGTTTTTGCCAGCTCTGTGCGTGTCATTGTGTCGAGCTTCCGAGAAAAGCTGGTCCCTTTCACCCCTCAGTTCTTTCTTTCCCTCTGCTGAGAATTCCCTTTTTTTTTTTATTAATGAGGTGCCCCAAACTAAACAGGGTACAGCTGCCATCTCACCCGGGTCTCTGGGCTGGAACAAACAGTCCCCTGTTTTATAATGTAATGCTTCTATTGATGCAGTCTGCTCCTCTGCGCTGCCTTCTGGGCTTCTGTCATTTAATGCGTATTAGGGGCTTTGCTCCCTCCCGAAGTATGTGAACGACCTCAGCCCAGATGATAGACTTCCTCTCCGCACTTCCAGATCCTTTTCTGCTGTCCTTGGCTTGCAGTCATGTTGTTCCACCCGCGCCCTCCCACACACACGCTCTAGAGAAGTTTGTATTCCACTGACTGATGACACAGGGGCAGGCGATTAGGTAACACTCACCGCTGACGTGCACGGGAAACTTGGTTCTGTTCTAGAAATCTCTGTGAAAGAACACATCTTAAAACATATCCTCCCTGTCCCCCGGGTCATTGGCTCTTAAAAACTTGAAAGCACCTCTCAAGAAAGGGGACACGTGGAGGCTGATCGAACTGAAGATCTGAGATCACCAGCCTCGTACTTGTAAACACGGACTTTGTAAAAGTGCTCCTGCTTCTCTCCTCCTTCACTGAAGGATTGGGACACAGTCCTCCAGCTAGAAGCGTCCTTCGCGTGGTGGGTGGAGCACAAGGAAGCCTTTGGGCCTCCCTCGGGGCCCTGCTTGCTCTGTCTGAGCTCAGACACTGGACACCAGTGGTGCTGCTGTACCGTCCCTAGATAATAATGGTGTTCTTCCTCTTCTCTTCTTTTCCTGTCCTCTTCTTTGGTTCATCTGCAGGCACTTCTCGTCTGGGCTCTGGGCCTCCTACCCAGTTTTCTGGTACTGCTATGAGTTAGTTAAGAGTTCGTACGAGGGATGGTAGCCTCTCTGGAATGGTGTCTTCTCTTTCTGTTGCTCGGCTTACCTGTCTGCCAACCAGCCAGGTTCTCCGTGCAGCCTGCTCTCCTATAGGAACCTGTTGGTCTGAGGGATGCACCGAAGTCCAGGAAATTGCGAAGTTTCCTCCATCCTTTAGAACTTTCTGGGAATGGCTGCAGTTGGCTGCCGCTGCTGATGGCTACACAAGACCCTTACAAGGTCTCATGGGCCAGTGCATCACATGTGGGCGCTGTCCTGGGCTGGAGGGAGAAGGCCTGGCTGCTGTACTCGTGTGTAGCCTCACTCAGGTGAGCAGGCTGGCTGGGGTCTGGGCTGTGTAGTCCCCCGCCTAGGGTAAACCCACGCTTGCATGGTCAGTCTGCCTGTTTGTAAAGGTGACTCAGTGGTTGACTTCTTGCTTAGCATGCACAGGCCCTCATTTCAATCCCTAACACAGCCCCCCCCCCAAGATAAAAGATAAAAATGACTTAGAAATATACACCTTGAAAAACAACCTAACCAGGTGAAGATCTCTCTCCATTTTTTATCTGCAGAACTGAAAGGGTGGGGGTTGGGGGTGTCTCTTGACTTCATTGGGATCTGTGGTTTTTCTTTTTTTCATTTCATTCCCCCAGACCTCCTTCCCATCTTCTCCTCCACCTCCCAACCCCCCTCCGCCCCCTCCCCAGCTCCATGCAGTGTGCTGTATCTATCTCTCGGCTGCTGGCCTTGGCTGTCTGCTTCCCTTTAGTGGACTTGAAGTTCTAGGAAGATGGAAAGCTCGCATAGGTGGGTCACGTGTAGGATCACCTTCCCTGTTTACTTATTAAAAAGACATTTCTGGCTCCCGGGTGAAACTGTAGTTAATTTCGCTGTATCAGTGCTGGA